TCCTGGAATAGACAGAGAAATATCCTGATTCGTCGGTCTGATACACGGTACTCGACTCGCCAACTTCTCGACTCGCCGGACACAGCAGGAAAAAGTGCGGTTCTGCAGTCGTTGCCGCAGAATGCTTTCCTGAGGTAGTAAGTGAGTCGTATCAGCATGCCAGTGTTTGCCAGCGTCAGGTGCTTTGAAGCCACCCTTTCTTCGCAGCTGGGTGCTCAGAGCGGCTCCGATCATGTGTTGCTGGTTGGGTCGTGGTCTCTTATGAAAGATTTATCACGGTTTGGAGTTAGCTGTTTTGCCGCGCCGTTACTGCACAGATAATTCATATTTCTCATATGCCATGCGGCTAGGAAAATGTGGTGTCCATGTCTTCTATGTAAATGTTAAGTCGGATGGCAAAGACTCAGAGGTGGATTTGCGATAATGGAGTTTGCAGTAGTCTACAGGGGGCTTCAGAATCGTTATTCTTCCCTCTCAGGAAAGGTCTGTCTTCATATTTAATTTACGAGCTTTTTGATATTCAAACCATGGACAGTCAAAAAGTGGTTTGGATTGGGTGTCTCAGTCTTTGTGGAGGTTTCACATCAGGCAATAATAATATTATATTAATACTCAGAATTATAAAATATTAAAGAGGAGAAGCCCTCAAGCTTCCTCGCATCAGGTCTTCCATGCGCAATCCTTCGTTGCAAGCTCAGGTCTGTTCATGCTTTTTTTGTTTGGGTTTAAAGGATGGTTCTCTTCAGGGCACAGGGTAAGTACAGTAAGTTCTTGCACTTGTGCAGTGGTATAATGGTACTGGACTCGAGAATGCACATTCCCTGTTTGTTCTCCTGGTACTTATACTTTTCTTTAGCGGTTGCCTTTGGAACCATCTTGTCTTGAGATGCTACTTACAGGTTTCTTCGCTTGTTACTTACATCTTCTGAGATTGGGGACTTCATTTGGGACGTTGTGTTCATCTGGTTTCCCATGCAACACTAAGCAACAGCTGTTGGCACTCGCAGGACATACACAGGACAACACATACACACACCCACACACACACACAGAGTCTGTGTTTCAGCTGTCGGGTTTACACAGGGTGTGGGGTTCCTTTGGGACAAGGGTGGTTAGCAGCTGACTGAATGCAGTTTAGAATCATAGTTATACATGTCAGTTTGAAGACTTAGACACAAGGCCTGGGTCGTCAGTACACATTGCAACGGTCGTTCGGAGTTCGATGGTTCTACTCAGCAGCTTGCCTCTTGTAAAGAATGCTGGGTTTTGTAACCAGACTGTTCAAGGTCGGTTCCTAGGACTGTCCAAGCTCCTTTTCTGTGCACTTTGCATTCGAAGTTACTATGATTTAAGCTAGGAAGCTCAAAAGCGGCACCGCAGGACCACCCCGAAGGACTAGGGACAAATCATGAGTCCATGGTTCCCATGTAGTACTAACGTCGGCCTCACAAAGGTGACTCCGCTGGACTTCGAGTGGGCACACGTAGATCACCGTGGGCAGCCTAGCACTTGCCAGTGTGGAGCAGCAGCACAAGTCAGGCAGACTTTCATCTGAAGCATCATGGTCTGTCGTGGTTGGTGATGCTTTAGGTTTTTTAAAGAAGCCTAGACACAGAATCATTGTTATCATGCCGCTGCCAGAAAGCCCAAGCCACCTGCCACTGTCATCATCATTCCTCTCCCTTTCCTCGTTCTTTCTCGTCGGACATGTCGTCCTCCGGTTCCGCTGACCGAGCAGGACTTCCCCATGGACTCCCGTTTTTTCTTCGCCGTTCCACCGACCCGCAGGACGAGGTCATATTCGATTTTCGTGCGATGGACTATTACCTCGCGTCGGTCTGTGGGATGGAAGACCCAAGTACCATCCTGCAGCGTAATCTCGATTATTGCGAGCAGCTGCCGTCGAACTGTTTGGACTGCCTTCCGCCGGGCATTGACTCGCAGGAGGATTTGCAGTGCTTCCTCGCCGATCTGAGCCTTGCGCAGGCATATTATTTCCGCACTGGACAACCCGACAGGATGCCCGAATGGCGCACCGAATGGCTCTCGACTGTCTTTGTACCCGAACACTCGCCGTACGACACGCAGCAGAAATGGGCGGACAGGCTCGTTACACCCATGTTGGTTGTAGCGTGGTTTCTATGAAGGTGCATGCTTTTAAAGCCATATAATATTATAATACATTGATTCTTTTCCACAGAGCACATCCCGTAGGCTTTGGTCTTGGCTTGCTGCAACCGATGGACTGCTGTACAAGCGGCCCCCTGCCTTCGCGACACGGACTCCTCGGACGGTGAGTGAGAGAGACTTCTAGATTTTAATAGTTTGTGTTTCTGATAATTGAATTGTTCCCTAGCAGGAAGGACGACGGCTGGCAGATACTCGTCGAACACATGCAGGGCGATAAAATGTTGGAGTGTGGCACTCAGCTATGACATCAGCGCACTCAGTCATTCAAGCATTCCAGTACTTGCACTTGTGTGTGTGAGTGGTTAAACACGCAGCACCCACTGCCGGTCCAGGCTCTGCTTCAAGCAGATACTCGGGGCGGCCCAGCGCAGGACAGACAGCGCCCTCTCCGCCGGACTCCATTCCCCGCTGTTCGGTTCCCGACACCCGCAATCGTGGATGGTCGAGATGCTGAACCGCGACTGGGAGGCCTACCCGGTGGCCGTCCCCGTTCCCTGGCAGGGCCACATGTACTACGCGGTGTCGTCGCACAACGCGTCGGACTTGTACTTCTGCATCACGAAGGGCCCCGACGGACGTGCAACAGCAGAACCAGTAAGATTTTTGTTGGTAAACCTTGTAGTATAACTGAAATACTTACCAAGTCGACAAATTTTCGGACATCGCTGGTTCAGGTGACACGATCGACTTTCAGTGCATCGGACTGTTTCTCAAGAAACTCGAACTTGGACCGGGCTCGTGGAACTAGCCGCAGTTCGTTCAAGCACGACGTACCCGCCGGCCAGTCTCCATTTGGAGTTCTGGAGCAGTTCGCTCTCGCCGGCCAGTCTCGAAAGTGACACGTTTTCTGCACTCGGAGTTCAGATCAGTTCGCTCTCGCCGTTCAAAAGAGTTGTCCTGGCACACTTTACATTTGCCGGATGTTAGTTCCTATCGCACTGTTTGCTGACTTAAACTTTTGCGCTTCAGGTTGCTGACATGGACTGGCACCTCTTTGGCGGGGTCCTCGGAGTTCTGGTGCTGCACAGTTTGTGACGATTTGCATCGGCACAGTTGCTGTGTTCTTTCCTGTCACACTCGGAAGCGACAAGTGCTTGAACCACCCGCAGTCACCAGTCACTCGTACTAGGTTTGTCATGTGCTTCATGCATTGCAATTGAGGTCGGTCACTCCTCGTTCGGTTCGCAGGGCACGGCCACACGGCAGGACGAGGACTAAGTCAGGGGTCATGCTTTCGGATTGTGACAAGGCATTCCGCGGACTCTGAGGTAAGTTAGGATCCACCTGCAGCAGACATGGAGCAATTGCCGTAGACATAAAGAGTTAAAGGCCTTTGAGCAATTGGAGTCCGGTTTGTTGCCTGGGTTGCCATTTCAGCATTTCAAGCATCGAGTGCATAGAATCGAGGGTGAGCGGTAAATTTTAGTGTTGGGCGTTACACATTAGATTTGTTGTTTGTGGCTGTGAATCATTAAGGTTAGTTCTGGCCTATTCATTGCGGGTGGTGTCTCCTTAACTAGATCTACTTACAGTGCATGGTATAAACCGATTTCACTTCTGGAAGTTCACCATACTTGTCCACAGAGGGGCTTCGGGTGTGGCTTGATTCAGGAAAATAATCATGAGGTGTACAACTCAGTACTACGACTACTACCACGACTAGTACAAGTACTACTAGCATTGGTACTGTACTACTACTACTACTACTACTACTACTACTACTACTACTACTACTACTACTACTACTACTACTACTACTACTACTACTACTACTACTACTACTACTACTACTACTACTACTACTACTACTACTACTACTACTACTACTACTACTACTACTACTACTACTACTACTACTACTACTACTACTACTACTACTACTACTACTACTACTACTACTACTACTACTACTACTACTACTACTACTACTACTACTACTACTACTACTACTACTACTACTACTACTACTACTACTACTACTACTACTACTACTACTACTACTACTACTACTACTACTACTACTACTACTAGTACTAGTAGTACTACTACTAGTACTACTACTACTACTACTAGCTAGCCAGCTAGCTAGCTAGCTAGCTAGTACTACTATTACTTCTGCTAGCACTACTACGACTACTACTGCTACTTCTAGTACTACTACTACTACTAGCTAACCAGTACTACTGCTACTACTACTACTACTATTTCGACTAGTACTACTACTACTACTACTACTACTACTACGACTAGTACTAGTACTAGTACTACTACTACGACTACTACTACTACTACTACTACTACTACTACTACTACTACTACTACTAGTACACTACTACTACTACTAGTACTACTAGTACTACTACTACTACTAATACTTCTACTTCAACTAATAGGGACTGCAATTTCGGCCTACTGGTTTTTCCTTTCTTTAATGAGTAGTGGTACTGCTGCTAGTACTACTCTTCGCAATCTGGATTAGTATTGCTACGAGTAAATACTAGACCAGTAGTCAACCAGCTGGAGGAAGGCGCTCTTGCAATCGCTGTTGTCCTGTTCATATGGAGGACACGGACTCCATTGGCCGGCATCGCTGCCGCTGAGCCTTCTCGTTTCAGGCACTGTGCTCTCGTGCGGTCTACGCTTTGTGTCTTGCTTGCCATGTTCGTCCAGTCACAATGCACTGTGAGACCACCCAGCAGCAGGGCTTGATTGATTGTTTGGTTTTCCGAAGCCGTCCTGCCTGTGCGTTGGGACTTCGTGCAGTCTTATCATCCTTCCCCGTCGTTCTTCCTCGACGGACCTTGCCCAGCATGCCTCGTGATGCCGGCCCCCGCAAGCCCACCCTCAAGCAGCTGGCGAAGCAGAAAGCGAAGGACATCAAGACCCGGGAGCGCAACGAGGCGACGTTCGCATCCGCCGTTCAGCACTCCAAAAGCACCATACTCGACGTGGACATGCGGTTCATTCAAGACACGCTGACCCAGAACCCGACTTGGATTTCTCCACTCGCTGGTCTGATCCGCTCGGGCTCGTTGAATGGTCTTCTGAAGGACGTTGCCAAGAAGGAGGAGACCGGTGGACTGAGATGGAAGGGCAAGTGCACCAAATGGGGCAGTTTGCCGCTTGAGACGGCGAGCTTAATGCTCAAGCATTGCGGTGTGGAGCTCGCGGAGGACGTACAGAAGGACGAACCCGTCGTACGGACCCTCTTCGAGATCCAGTTCTGGGCAGCCAAGTCGGCGTCCTTGCCATCTCGTGCGGACATTCGCTATCAGTCCACGTTGGTCAAGTTAGCGAGGGCCCGCATGGAGGACGTTGGTCGCAACTACATAGCTGCGGTGAACTCGGCGGAGGCTATCAGTGTTGACCGGGACAGGTACAACATCTGGTCACTTAGAACAACACGTTGTACTGCCACGTCTTTGCCACACAAGATGGACACCCTCGCCGTTCCCGCTCGGAGTTCGTACCCAACGAGTCGTACCTCAGCCACGAGCTTCCTACTCTCCCGGACAACAAGACGTGGCAATTGGACGACCCTTTTGCGGTGGACTGTGTCATTTCAGATGGACAGCATAACTCGTTGTTCAGTTTTGAATGCGCGCGTTTCTTTCCTACTTTGCCGGACATGAAGGCCAAGTGGACCTTCGACTTGTCGTCGGACGCAGACACCACGGCTGGCCTCGGCGACAATGTGCCGCAGGGCACCCTGTCGGTCCGGAGTGCATAATGCACTCTCTCCTGGTAGTTCAGTGTGTCTTGAGTTTGGGGTTGACTTTACTCGTTGTTCTGTCCAGTTTGTTCCCTCGAAAAGCACAATGTCGTTCGCCTCGCCGTTCGACCCATTGTGTCTGAGTGAGTGGACAGGCACGAGTTTCACTGGGGCCGTGAAGCCGGCAACTTGCAAGCTGCATAAAAGAATACGTGCGATGAATGGCTGACTGCAATAATGACTTCCTTGCGGTGCCTTGCAGTATGTGCTACATACATGTTGCAGAAGAACACAGACCCATGACACGTGGTGTGAGCACTGCCTTGCGACATCAGCGATTCGTTGCCGCTGTCTTTGGGCTTCCAGAATAAAAGCTGCATGCCTGCAGAGCCTCCCTTTCTCTTGGTTTGGCAGATGTCACATATACTTCCTGGTACATAGCCTATAAAGTTTTGCTACATTCGTTCACCAGAAACAGACTGTAGAATTGATCCACTCGCTATCAGATGCTGGAGCCCGCTTCTGCCGATGGACCCTCTTCTTCAGGACCTCCAGCTTTTTTCAGCTCTGCGTTGGACAAGCGTCGGACAGTTGCATTTTGCATTCCCTGCGGGACACACGGAAGCCTGAAGGGCGAGAGCTACAAGTACAAAGAGCCGCAGACCAAGGTAACGGATGGACATCGTTTTTGGCACATGCGTTGGTTTGTGGACTTCCTCGGAGGACACGAGTCTCGAAATTTCCTCGCAGGCAGTGTGTCGACGTTCAGGAACAAGCTCTTCACGATTGCATGGCCCTGCTGGACAGACACGGAGGACGCTCTGAAAAAAGAGATCGAGTCGCACTTTCTCCAGAGTTCGTTCTCCCTCCTCAAGCAACAGGAGCACGCTGCAAACGCCGAGAAGAAGGGCACCAAACGAAAGGCATCCTCGCAGCAGATGCAGGACGACATGGAGGACGACAACGAGCAAGCGGACAATGAGGAGCACACGGGTGACCAGATGGAAGAGGTAGCAGCTGGACGAAGCACACGTTGTACAGAGTTTGCCACGTCGAGCTTTGCAACGATTGTTCTTTTGCATCAATGGCACCAGGGTATGCGCAAAGATGCCAAATGGAAGAAGCCGGCAGAGGAGGTATCCAAGCTGGCCGGGGAGTTGCTTCAAGGCCTCGCTTCCTTGTTCCTGCAGACCCCGCAGGACTTCTCATTCACGTGGGACGGAAACACTCTGGTGCTGCCGTTCAAAGGATGTTCGCTGGACGTGGACGAGGTTGTACTGCAAAACAGTTTACTTGCTAAAGTACTACACCGCGATCGTTCCCGATTCATGGACGTGCTGCAGGATGTGAATGTGGACTGCACCCGTCGGACAATTGGAGACACTCGCAAGTCATCTAGTTTGAGGACGAAGTACTACTTGTTGGCGGCTTTGGCACGTGCCATGGATTCGTCGGACGACACGCATTCCTGCTGGACATCTTTGAATGTGAAGCAAGTGATGCAGCTTAGGAGAGAGGTTTCGATTCGAGGGTTTGGAGGGTTTGAAGGGTTTGGAGGGTTCCGGGGTTTTAAGATGTAGGGTTGTGTCTTGAAAGCCCGAAAATTGATATTCCCCCTGTTGTTTCAGGAGCACCTCCGGATATCGTCGGTCGTCCACGAGTTTTCGACAAGAGGTTGCGAGTTCATCGAATGCCACACGCAGGACACTTACCTCCACATTGCAAGGACATGCGTTCACCGTGCAGGACAGCAGCGAACAGCAGGACGAACAAAAGATCAAGAAGCACGCTTCTATGGACGCACACAGGCTAGCACGCATGGAGCGATACGCCTATGTCACGCAGGGCAAGTCAGATTTCCTCTCGACGGACATTTTGTGCGTGGTGGCAGATGCAGTGCACGTGGGAAGTGACGATTGGCTGAACATCATGGTGTACAACCACACGACGGACAAAGTTTGGGTCTGCCCGCCGCAGGCGCTTTTTTTTGTTAAGCAACACATATTTCTGAGGCGTTTTAGGCAAGAGGCGAGGTACGTCAGAGCCTTGCTTAAGTTGACCTTTTTGGGTGCCGTTTTCGTAGCTTCTGGGTCCGACCAAAATCGTTTTTCCGAGGGGAGGTACACGTATCCCCGCTCAGGCTCGGTTTGGGGCGGAGTCTTTCTATTGTATTTTATATAAAGATAGGTACACGTATCCCCGCTGACCCCTGGGTTTCGGGATTGGCCTGATAAAGTCTCCCGGCCGCCCTTCTACTGATGAGTAGGTACGCACAGCCTTGCTTAAGTTGACCGGGTCCCGGGTGGAGGCCGAGGAACGCATTTCGGCCACATTTTGGCTGCATTTCGGCCCCCAAAAAGGTACGCCAGATCCCCGCTTAAGTTGACCGGCCGGTCCCCCAAAAAAGGGCCCCTGGGTGATTATATGGTAACAACCTCTGTCGTTTGTTTTGCATGCTGTTGCTGACAAGCTCTTCCTCTAAGCTTTGCTTCACATTTTTCTCTGTGTAGTCAGACCACGCAGCAGGTCCAGAAATCGTCCGTCTTGTCGGCTGAGCAGTGGAAAGCTATGTGGAACAAGGCTTCCAAGAAGTTCCTCGGGATCGAGAAACCCGTTGGACCTGGTCATGCGGAGGACCGGCTGGCCACACTGTCTTGGATGCAGGACATAAACCACGGCTTGCGACCCATTGGCTGGACTTTTGGCTGCTGCCAGAGCACGCCGGCCGGCCCCGCGGAGGACGACACGAAGGCTAAACGTGCACCGATCATGATTTTGTGCACCGACCAAGAAGCAACACAGCTGGCGGCTGTCTCCTTCTTGAGGAACAAAAAGAGCCTCTGGATCGAACACGTCTCGGACCCCGCCCACAGGTCGCACAACGACGTGGCTTTGGCCTTGTCGGCCGCTGGACTCCTGAAGTTCTGCACGTGCATCTCGCTGTACAACATCAGGTATGGACCCTGGCAGAAGGGCTCGTGGGCGTTGAAGATCCAGCAAGCCGCAAATCGCATGAAGGACAACATGGACCCCTCGGACCCGATATTGCTCCTTTTCTTCCCGGACATTCTGCTGGACGCCGGCCTCTCCCCCCTGGACGACAACACGGAGGAGAAACGCAGGTCGTTTTTGCAGACATTACCCGACATGGACTGCATCCGCATCAAGGGCACGAAGGCCAGCAAGAGTCGGTTCAATTCCCTGACGACGGCCCACAGCGCGCTGGACAAAGAGTGGTCGGTCTTGGCTTTAGTTCTCACGGTGGTCTGCTTGGAGCACAACTGGGCAGTTTCCACTAAGGACCTCTTCTCGCAGGACAGCAACCAGGCCCGTGCCTCGGTTCCATATGGTGGAAGCAAGTCTTCTGCCATACAGGAGGCCAAGCAATGCATGGACCAGGAGCGGAAGGGCAGCGCGAACAGTCTACACTTAATGACGAAGTTCGTGATCTCGCAGGACAACAAGACGACAGCCAGGATGATGTTCCAGGTCTTGCAACCCGAAGAGCTTCGTTGTTCGCTCATGCTCAAGCAGCTGCGTTCCAAAGGCATGACGAAGGACTACTACTCTGGCTGGGCACACTGGTCTTGGATGAGCACTGCAAAGGACCACGTCAGGACTTTGTCGAATTTGGAAGGTTTATCTCGTGTCGGCCTCGACCTGACACTGGCACGCGCACAACCCCCGGCGGAGACAGAGCTTGTCTGGCAGGACTCGCTCGCAGGCCAAATGACGCAGTTGACACTACAGATCCTGCGGCTGCGGGCCGGG